TGATACTACCTTTGATGCTTTTTGATTCACCAATTAGGTCTTGTATCCTTTTCAGAAAAAGTGTTTTTCAAATAACTTAAACATTCATGGTGGAAGGAAAAAAACACCACCTTTTTTCCTTCCACCATATTAGACATTACTGGTAAAAGACTTATATTAGGTTGGTATGAACTTACCTGGTCAAGAGGCTTCCCAGGTTTCGGAATGACTGTGCTCCTTTGAAATGATCTGGTATATATTCAAGTTTTAACATTGTATTAAATAAAATAGTCAAAAATCACTATTCTGAGTATACTAAACGAATATCGTTTCAAAATAAACAATACGGTACTCCGTAAAGGTACCAGCTTAAAAAAGGGGTTAATTGATGTATAGATTCGGTTATATTAGTGACAATATTGTTCCCAGCGATATATAATTGCAGAATCGTCTGATGATTTTCCTAGAAGCCTTAAAGTAAGTGGTCTCCTACAATTATTGGGCTTAAACTTGACAAATTTGTAATGCTATTGCGACAAGACGAGAACAAACATAACAAGTGAAAGGCGAAATGCCGTATAAAAACATTTACAAATCTCCAAAGTCTGAACAAGGTCCCACTAGAAAAACTAGTGAAGCCTTGGAATGAATCATTATAAACTGTTTCCGACCTGTAATTAATGAACTAATTGTAATGCAAGTCCCCGCACTTCAAGACAAGAAAGCTTATCAAGAAAGTAACGTGTGCGTGTGATCCAACATACCAAAGGCTTTGCTCAGATCAAACCAAATGCCCATTAGGTGTTCATCTGCATCCAATGAAATGACTACATTTAAAATAAAGACAGGCCATTGCATCCGAAGTGTTTTGTTTTTTGTGAACCCATTTTATTGTTTCTCTGAAATAATTGTAATTCCAATGGTCTTAGTGATTATTTTTTCAGACCTTGGATACCGATCATGTTTTGGCTTTATAGGTCTGTAGTTGCCGCAGAGGTGTGAGAATCTTTATGTGAAGTGACTTGACAATGACAATTTACGTTTTCATGGCATCGGCGAACAGGCCACATTCAAAGGAGTCGTCGATTAGCTATATAGCTATATAGCGTGGAGGAGAAATTTCCAAAAAACAGCCCTTATGTCAAGGGAGAAATATTTTTTTATAAATTACCATAAAGACAATATGATGTAAGATGTAAGATGTAAGACAATAAAAGACTCGAAAGGTAAAAAATTCAAGTTTTTTTTTTTTAAATTTGGCTAATTAATAAATGTCCAGCCAGACTTGAGGATTTCGATTAAAAAAGGTGTGCCTATTGTGTGAGTAGAACTTTGTAGAGTAAAACTCATGGTTTTGTACATTTTTGCATGGTTTGCTTTGTATGATAAGTGACATTGACGATTACAATGCATGTTTGTCATGTTAAAAGCAAATAAAGACATTTCATTTCATTCATACGTCAAGAAAATTACATAGTTGGTAATTAAATACTGAAAATCTATTACTGAATCTGTTCTCCCCAATAATCCCCAATAACATTTTCTAACTACAGACCAGAGAAAAGTACATACTTTTCGTATTATTTTGCTTTAGTTCTGTTTTATCAATCAATAAATTAATGATTGAAATGTCTATTAACATTACTTGCAATTTGGTTTATTGTACTTCCGAAGCTTCTGGTCATAAACACAAGCGCGATAAGCCACGCTGGCTCGGAGGTCGGGGCCAAACCAAAGCCAAGTCTAGTCTACTATAGTACTAGTGTCAAAACAAAACAACAGGAACAGGAGGAAAGGAACAAGGAACGAACATACACAGACCACAGACTACAAGCATAGACTAACCAAACCAACACTAAGGGAGTATGTTTTATCTATGCTACAAGACAAAGACAGACAGCGACAGACAGACAGAGTCAACAGTAACAATACTGTGCACTTTTCTTACACCACGATTGCGGTGGGGCACACGGAAGATTTCTCAGGTGCCGTTTGACGTCACTAACTGCTGCGTCTGAAGAAACAGACAATTTTATAATTTTCTGTTATTAAATTAAACTGTCATAACCTAACCAAACGTGCTGATAATGGAAAAATCGAATAAAGGTTTACTAATCTAAAAAATAGTTTTGTTCACAAAATAAAATTATAATTGCCTAAAATTCAATTTTATAATTTTTTAATTATAAAATTAAACTGTCATAACCTAACCAAACCAACCAAACTTGCTGATATGAAAAAATGTTGATAAAAAGCTAGTGCCGCCGGCGGGATTCGAACCTGGAACATACGGATAATCAGCCTGCAATGCTATACCAATGAATACACAAACTATATATATAGTTTGTGTATTCATTGGCTGTACACTGTACCACCGAGGCCGAGGCCGATGGCTCATAACCGTATCGTTGCGGGTCGTTGCGGGTTGCGGTATTGGTGTTCCCTCAAAGTGACGTCAGCAGTTAGTGACGTCAAACGGCACCTGAGAAATCTTCCGTGTGCCGTTTCGCCACGATTGTAACTTTATGTTTACAAACAATTATATAGAATTTTAAACTTTGCAACCTCAATATGACATTAGTTTCAGTTCATCCACATTGGCAGCTTTTAATAATTAATTAATAGTTATTTTAAACTTAATTAATTTTTAGGTTATTATTAATTGCTACTTTTGAGGTTAGGCCTATAGCATTACCTGTGTTACTACAAGGTGGTTAGTATTTGAGATTGAACTCTGTTTACTTTTGGTGTTATTCAAAATGGAAAATAATAACACCAGTAAGAAGAGTGATGACACATTTGACCCAGGAACTGCTAGATTTGGAAATTTTATAAATTACTACAGTTTTAATCCTGCTGATGAGAGGATCAGATTATTGCCTAATTTCGTTCAGTTTTTAGGTTGTACTACAGAAAGGCCTAGTTCCAGAATAGTTTGTATGGACATTGGATGCAATACTGGGGTACGTAGCCTAGAAGCTTTACTGTACTAACATTTTAATGTAACTTACGCAAAATAACAAAAAAAATATGAGAAAAGGCAGAGCATGTCAACCCTGTAAAAATGGTGTAGGCCCTAACCGTAAATAAATAAATATAGGCTATGCATTAGGTCCAAGGCCTAGCTCTTATTTTTTCCCAACAGCTTGATAATTATCAGCAAATTATTGGTTCAGGGGGTTTATAGGTGTGGGAATGTCAGCTACAGACATACTATTCTTCAAATTGTTTGGAGTAGAAATGTTACAGAATTCACCTTTTAACAAAGTAACCATCTCCTTTCTGGGGAGGCAAAAGGGGAAACTTATCCAAATTCAGCGTGATTGCAAAGTTTGTAACTTAGAAACGGAATAGTTAGAGTAATCTACAAAACTCAGAATCACAATACAGTAGACTCCCACTTATCCGGACTCTTCGGGACCGAGGCCAATCCGGATAACGGTTATTCCGGTTAAACCGACGTCCCCAAAAACTTGTTAACCGTTTACTGTGATATTTGAAATAAATTTAGGAGAGCATTGTCACGTGATCACTGGTCTCAAATCTTTCCCACGAAAACAGTCGTTTCAGTACTGCCCACTTCCTGCCGATCTAGTCCGGTTAAAAACCAATGTGCTGATAAAAATTGTCCTATTAAAGAGATGTCATTTCTGCCGATTGTAATCCGGTTAAATCGATGTCCGGTTAAAAGGTGTCCGGATAAGAGGGAATCTACTGTAAGCTTCTCTATCGACCCATAGGCCCTACTTATCCCTCAATCCTTTTAATGTAGGCTAGTATTGATATTTTGTAACACTATTGTTATCTACTACCGGTATGATGAATGTCTATTTTAATAAAAAAATTTCTTTGGTTTCAGGAACTAACTCAAGCGTTGCACAAGTACATAACCAAATCAGTTGGTGATAAGTCAGAATGTCATATATTGGGTGTTGACATGGATGAAATTCTTATACTACGAGCAAATGAGAACAACCATAGTAACTTTCTGACTTTCAAATGTGCTAGTGTTATGGAGGAAAATTTCAAAACTATATACAGAGACTACTTAGAACATCAAGAAAGACATCATTTCGACGTCGTTTTCTGTTTTTCAGTAACAATGTGGATTCACCTGAATCATGGTGATGATGGTTTGAAACATTTCATTACGTCTGTCAGTGACACAACGAACATTATAGTGGTGGAGGCACAGCCCTGGCGATGTTATACAAGGGCGGTGAACAGAATGAAGCACAGCAAAGTCGAGCCCTTCCCGATGTTTGATCAACTCAAAATAAGACAGGAAGTTGAAGATCACATAGACAATCTTTTGACAAAGGAATGTAATTTTACCAAAGTCCTGCAGTCTTCACCTACAAAGTGGAAGCGCCAAATAAATATCTATAAAAGAAATCAATGTCAACAGTAAAAAAATTTATTTTTTATGTTTTGTTACTCTTTAACTCTGATTACATGGAAAACTATTCGAGGAGCAGAGATCTGGTAGGCCTACATGTTTTTTCCTGGATTTGTCGATTTGTGTTTGTGGTAAATATGCAGGAGTGAAATTGAAGAGAGTTTGGTTTAGTTGAGTTGGGCATTTTAAATGTTCTACAGTACTTATTTTAATGTTGACCAAGTCTGCCTTGTATAATGCTAATCTTTATACTGAACAAATTACTTAATGGCACACAGCACTACCCAATTATTTGACTCTAAAAATGAAGGTACCTACTTTAGTAGTTTTAATGTCATATCAGGTGCTACAATAACAGATTTAAATATTTTTAGGAAGAGAGAAGTCCAGAATTCAAATAGGCTTATTCATATCCTAGTTTATTGCACCTGTGACATTTTGTTCTCTTTTAGTCTTTTTGTATCCATACTATATTATCTATTGTTTCATTCTTACTTCATTATTATTTAATGTTTATCTTTATGGATATGGTTCACCTTGGCTCTCTGCAAACTCAATGTATTTTGTAAAATGGTGTTTACTGTAGGTAAGTAAATAAATGACAGGTTAAAAGAAACAAATGGTGCAAAATCAATTGGTTTTATTACTAGTTAAATAAATTTAACAAAAAATATTAGATTGCTTAATATATGAACAACATACAGTATATATATATATGAACAACGACAATTACAAGTCATAATAATTATCATCATGTTTTTCTTCAAACATAACAATGCCAACGGTAATTTTCTTTAGGCCTCCATCTTTCTCTTACCTGAAATAAAACAGTCTGGATGTATCATTTAAAGAGGCAAGGGTGAAAATAAAAAGCTGAATATTGGCTACTGTTTCCCAAATAATCATAAATGCTTGATTACATAGGGCAGGTAAACAATCAGGCTTGTCAGTGGGTATGATATACAACTACTGCTACTGACCGATTCCTATGACACTATCATCCTACTATTTGCTTTTGCTGAAGAAACTACAAGTAATTTGTATAGTTTTTACGAGCTTAAAATGGTAGCAAGGAAAAAAAAATGGCTAGTCGCTTGTAAACTGGCTCTGAGTGATCGAGCTCTAAAACTGCCACTAATGTTAATACAAACAAAAACCAATAAGTTGTAGGTTTTTTTTTTTATTTGAAGAGGTAGTCCCTTAACTGAGTGTCATCCGGGATGACAACTAACACAGTTTTGCTTTTGTGTTGACATTTTTTGTATTGGATGTATGTCACTATTTATTTATTTATTTCATGCAACAAAAACATAATAAACAAAATACATGTTATACAAGGCTACAAAAGCCGCAGTAGGCTTGTCCGCAGCTATAGATCGATAGCTTATAGCTTAAAGCAGCTATCGACTAGGATAGCTTATAAATAGTACTTACATCTCTGCAAGATTTATACACTTATTATCTTTTATAACCCCTCTTCAACATCCATAGGAGAGCTTGAAAACCCCTCGCAAGTGGCCGCGTGATTCTGTAAAATAGTACAATTTATAACAAAAAAATCTCATGTTCAGCGTTAGAGTTTAAATAATGAGTATGGTAATATTTTTAACAGTTGGCAACCTTTAACCTTACATTCCCATTCATGTGAAATGTCTCCAGTAAAGTGTACAATGCAGTAGGGTTTAAACTGTGCTGATAAAATGTAGAGGCAGGTACCAGGATCTAAACTCATGACATCGCTGCATTGATTAATTGTCCATCACACTCTAGGCTACTGTGTTTGTTTTTTTCATGAATATTTTAATGACGGTTTTATAGTACACTAAAGCCCCCCATACACGGGCGAGCATGTTCGTTGCCAACACCGTCACGAGCATGCTCACGAACCTTTTCCAAAATAGAGGGTTCATCAATTACAATTTGTATATTACTACACAAATGTGTACAAACAATTCTGTAGTAATTTGTCACAATTAAATAATTCTAATAAAGGCTAGAATAAGCAAAAATACGAGAAATGTTATTGCACAACGATGGAATTTTAAATTACATTATTTTCAAACCGTAACGGATGAATTTAATCCGATTACTTAAGGCCTGGCACACACGGCCTATTTTTAGATCGGCCGATTACAAAATCGGCCAAAAATAAATCGCCCCTGATTTATGTCTAGGAAATAATGCGTATGTTGCAAAAAAACTTAATGCTGTAATTGCAGCAAAAAATCTGGAGTAGGCTAAATACACAAAACTTGACTGTCACAGAGCACAAAAGGAGCAAGAATAGGCCTAGGAACCGCTACCGAGCGACGAGCATGTTCGCGAGCATGCTCGTCCGTCTCTTGGAAACGCCAAGCATGTTCGCGAGCATGCTCGTCCGTCTGTTGACAACGCCGAGCATGTTCGCCAACATGCTCGCGAACATGCTCGCCCGTTTTTGGGGGGCTTTACATAGACTAAGCAACACAAGTAGACTTCTCATTCCATTGTAATCTTTTTGTGTCTAGTTCATGTACATCGACACCGATTGCTAGTGTAGACAAAATTTTGTTTATATTATTTGAGGGCTATTTTCATGATTTGTGCTTTACTATTTGGTTATTGAGCGGAGCGAGCGAAGCTCTTTGGGATCAACTTCAATGCAACAATATAACCCCATCACTAAATAACGGGTGAACGCATTTCAGCCAAACTTAACAAGATTACTTATAAACATCTACGTTTGTTCCGCTCAACTGGCTTTCACCTCTCTGACAGCAACCCTAGTATAACTAGGATACCAGTTATTGTTTATGATTAGATCGTTTTATTTGGCTAAATGAGGGTTTACATTACTGCAATAACAAGAAACAAATTGTAAATAAAACACGACCTTTATAGTACGACGTACAGAACTACCAATAAAATTGGCTTTAGCTGTTCCATAAAGGATTACAAATCTACTAAGGTAGTATGTTTTATCTATGACACTAAGCAACAGCATAGATAAAACATGATCACCCAAACAACGAGCAGTACACATACAAAGTAGGCTATATATACAAACCTCGATTGTTGACCTTGTGAAGTTCTGCTGACATATAGGACATTGTACATTTTTTTCTTCTTCTTGGACCTAAAAAATACCAATAACTTAAAAGCATTTAAGTTAAAATTAGTGCTATTCAGGAAATATGTCCTAACAAAAAGAAAGTCAAATAAAACATGGTAACTGTTGTGCAGTATTGGAGTTAGATACTGTGTTGGTGTACTGCAGAGTAACTAGGGGTGGTATCTTGATTTGTGATTGAATAAATTTGGGTTGCAAATTTCAGTTTACACCCATATTTTTGGTTCCTCATTTTTTGGTTTCCCATGTGACATAAAATATGGTAGACTTTAGATAACAATGAGCTTTCCGTTTCAGTTTTGTTTAATTTAAAAGTTTGTTTACTTAACAAACACCAGTAATAATTAACATCAGCATACATTGTCAGTGGCTCAACTCAATACCTAGTTTTATTTTATGACTGGCAACTACTTTAACATGGAAACAAAATGTCTGATTCTATTTCTAGGCAAAGATATAACTACGGTTTACCTTGGATACACCGGGTGGAGGGTAAGATCTCCTGGTAGGGGCAGGGGATTGAGGCCCTGCACGGCCCCCCCACAACGATCTGTTCTCAAACTCTATCTCAATGTCTGGTTGACCCTGAAGTCTAGTTCTGTTGGTGTCCTGTTTTCTGTTCCGTTTGTTCCTTGGTTTGGCTGCTGTCATCCACTCGCCCAACTGAAAAAATAATTTATTTAATTTTTGTGTAAAAAACTGTTTAAGAGTCGGCAGACCTTAAATGGTTGAAGCATGGTAAATGGTTGACGTTAATGGTTGAAGCATTGCATATACGTCATTGTTTATCAAGATGAATAGTTGCAAAATATCTCGTTTTAAAGCTATTGAAAACGCAAATGTGATTTGCTATCTACTTTTTATTTATAATTGTTATTATTTTGTCAAATTACATAAATATATTGACTTAAACTTAACTATGATTTTTTTCAATCTCTAAAACAAGTTTCAAAAATTCAAAAAGCACTTCACACGGAAAATATATTTAAGAATCACATAACATTTTCTGCTCGGTAAATTAAGCTTAGAGTGCAGGATAAATATGCTTCAACGTGAACGCATATTTTGCTGATCAGCGCGGAGCTCGGACAAAATAATAATGTAGGATAGTTTGACAAAATAATAACGATTAAAATTTAAAAGGGGATAGCAATAGCTTTAAAATGAGATACTGTATTTTGTAACTTTTTACCTTAATAAACAATGCTTGATAAAATATGCTTCAACCATTATCATTCCCGTCATGGACAGAAAATTCAAGATGGCCGGCGGTGCTGCCGACTTTTGGAGCCATAACCCAGTTTTGCAGCCAGTATGCAATTCAAGATGGCCGGCGGTGCTGCCGACTTTTGGAGCCATAACCCAGTTTTGCAGCCAGTATGCAAAGTTGCACTTTTTAAATGAAGGAATGTGAGCTTTACAAAATTGTTGATTTCTAATCTATTAAAATTTATGATTATGCCTGTTCCAGACAAACTTAGTTCCAGATTTGCCTAACAGGAGTAGGCCTACTAATGTAGTATTTCTATTTGGATGAACCTGCCCGTGTAATATATTGTATTTTTAAACAAATACAATACGAAATTCAATCGTTCAAATAGAGCAGTCGTTTAGATGAATTTTAAAACACTGCTATAAAAATCTTATGAAATAATGTTAAATTAATCTTTAGTCTTTGGCATTTTATATCACAAAAAAATTATGCTAAAATAAGCGGAAGCACAATAAATCCCTGAATAAAGACCCGCTGACCAAAGTTATACTTTTGAAACTTTGAGTGATATTTTTGCTAGTCTTTCTTTACAGTAACAATATCACGCTACTGTCAGAGTCTCGAACGAACAAGATTGACAAGCGTCTGTTGACTATGCTTACCTTGGTATCCTCTGTTTTCAAGATGGGTGTTATCTCCTCACAGTCGGAGTCTCTGCTCGTCCTCCGCTGAGGGGTACGGCTGTTCTGTGGAGGTGCACTGTCCGACATCATCTTTGTCTCTTTCTTCTTGCCCTTGCTGTAGGTCTAACAACAATTAAGGTTTACCAAGGGTGTATAAAATGTTGTTTATTTTAAAACTATCACAAAAAAAACAAAACATAGTCACGTATGATCTAAAGAATTTAAAATTCTAAGCGCTTTATTTTACTAAAGTGAAATTAACTGTAGTTAAACCTATTGTACACCTATTGTATTGATGATTGGTGGGAAAAAAATCTATTCTTAAAGTTATGTGGGGATGTAGAACTCAACCAGGCTGGTATAATATGTCAACTCAAACGTTATTTAAAATATTTAAAAATAATAAAAAAATGTTTACCTTGGTACTTTCTGTAAATATGTAAGGATCAGTTTCGCCATCTTCACCGTTTTCTTCATTTTTTCCTTCTTTTTCATCAGAAGCTATGTTCTCAACTAGAGCTTGAGACTCCAGTTTCCTTGTCTCCGCAATGTATCTGTTTTTCCACGAGTCATGATCGTGAAGCATCCTTCTTAACGTGTCTTCTCTGGACTCGCCCCTAAATCTGTAATATGGACATTTCTCACGTCCGAACGCTCGATCTGGCATTGGAAGTGGTGGAGCATTGTCACTGACACAACAAGGTAGACTAAATTTTGTTGGTTCGCCAAATATTGGAAATGGATCATCGTCTATCAAATTGATACAGGTATCCTTACTTTCACTAGATTCGTTTTTGGACTCTCTTTTTGGCAATTTCAGTCTGTTAGTTCTCACAGTGGTGGGTAAAGGTGGAAACTCAGAGGGTGTTGTATCTATTATTATGGGTTTTTTCATTGACCTTGAAGACGAACCAGCCTAAAAAATCAAGTCAAGTTATTGGTAGTAAAACAATTACCTATTGACATTACCTGACGATGAAGTGGTTCCTTTAAACCAGTCAGGTAAGGTGAACTGACCATTTGTACTGATTTGGGTCTCAATACAATTAATTTTACTCAATAAATACAAAAAAGTACAATAAATAAAAATAAGAAGTCAAAACTGGGCTACTGTCATTTGTAAAATCTATTATACTATCCAATAATTTGTTTGGCAAACAAGTATTCAAATTACTAGATGCTGGGAAATACTAGGTATAACTTACTGTACAAACAAATTTACTAGTAAGCCTAGATAGAATATTTTTACAAAAAAGAAATTTACTAAGTTAGCTTTGACGGAAAATTTACAAAAAATAATATTTGACCTAAGATAGTATCTAGTCAGAATATTTTAAATAGGCCCCTATCAAGAAATCTAACTTTAAATCTTGAAATTCACAAAATTATATTAACTTCAAAACACAATAAGAAGGAATTAGATTATTGATGGAAAGTTGACATAAAATTGTCAGTTGGACTAACCTCTGGATGAAAACTGTCTTTGGACTGTTTAATGCAGCGTAACAAGTTTTTCTTTTCTTCAAGGTTCATTTGTTGTAAGGATGATTGATTCTCAACTCCACCAGAATCTGTAGATTTAAATTAACTTACTTGAATTTAAAGGAATTGAGGAAATTGTAACTCAGTTTAAACAAGTTTAATGCCAACGAATTCAGCTAAATAGATAAGATTAATAAAAGAGTATGACTTACGAGTGTATGAGTAGTAGTATGTCATTAAAGCACTATTTCAACAGCGCAAAAAACTGTCTGGAGGTAACATAAATCAACAACTCGGTTCATAATAACCTTAACTTACCTAATCTAACCTATGCACCTTCAAAAGACTTCATACAGTAACGAATTCACATGAAACCCGGCCTTACAGTGAACAGTGTCAATTTGTACTGTATTTGTTATCATAGAAGTTTGGTTGTGAGCCAGATTAAACATGCAAATTGGCTAGTCTGGTTGAGTCTGCCAATAAGTTAACCGTTACCATAATGGGACATGCGTATAAATTAAGTTACATGGGGAAAACTCAAGCTAAGCCACTCACTGAAGAAAATAACCAAACAAAATATGTATTCTTTCTTCATTTTTCATAATCCAGTCGTAATGAAACACTGTATGCTCAACCAGGAGACAGTTAGGCTAAGGCTTCACTTAAGTTTACGCCCCACTTTCATTCAATTGAAATTTTCGATAAAACTATCAGAATATCAATTATTTCATTTAGATTGTTCAATCCATTATTTTATTGATTTTAATTTGTTGTTAATTGTTTATATTGAAGTATTTTTGACAAAGTTAAGTAGGTAGCTTATTGTAAAATGAACTACCGGTATCGCAAAATTTGTCAACATGTTTTAAATGCCGAAACCTGTTTCAAATGGATTGGAAAGGTTTGGTTCCGCAGACTCCCAAATGTCTAGTGTGTAACGATGAAATGAAAGTGAGAATTAGAGGTAAGAATCAAGTAGCTTTCACATGCAAGAAAAGGTCTAACCACCACAATGTATCCAAAAATGCCCTAAAAAAATCACTTTTTCCAGTACCATGGTAAACCAACATAATTATGGTTACAACCCAGTTATGGTAAACCAACATAATTAATTTGTTCTTTAAAATGGGAATACCACACAAAGTACAAATCTTACTTTTGTTCTACTGTAGTTGAATTGTTTGATATTTATTTAAAACTTTGAGTGCGGCAGGCATTCCAACAGGCGCTCGCCAATGAGTTCTGTCTATGTCAGTGCCGTGATCGGGTTACAATAAGTGTTGTAGGCCTAGGCCTACATGAAAATGTTTTGTTCATGCGTGTTAAATAGATACCTATACAATTTTATGTTTAAATTAAATGTAAATTTCTACTACTTGACAAGTCCAATTCGGATATTATAATGTTTCAATGTGTCTGTGTACCGTACCACTTGAAAATGCCAACATGGCAAAACATGCAGTGGATAAAAAAAACACACTATTTGAATTGAACTGCAAGAGGGTAGGCCTACAGTTTCTTAACTGGGCTACGCTAATATTGATTGAAACTATCGAATTGAAAATATTGATTAATAATCTATATTTCAAAATATCTATTATAAAATTAAACTATCATAACCTAACCAACCAAACTTGCTGATGGTGAAAAATTCGCATGAAGGTTTATTTACTAATCAAATCGATAGTTTCAATCAATATTAGCGTAGCCCAGTTAAGAAACTGTACCCAGGGGGGGTATGAAATAAATAGGGGCCTAGCTCTAATTCTTAGCTAGGTAGGCTACTGTTGTAAGTTCCTCCAATCATTGGCTTTTTATCGGTAACCATTCAGTATGGTTATGGCCACATTCATAGCTATTTGTCCTATGGTACCTCACTGTGGGCCAACAGTTTTTATGCTAACAGGTTGCTTTTTACTTTACAAAAGAAAGCGGTGAGGTTAATTTGTAGTGTGAATAGAAGAACTCATTGTAAGCCCCTTTTCGTGGGTCTTAACATTCTCACATTTCCATCCTTGTATGTTTTGGCAAGTTTGTTGTATGTAAAAGAAAACATTTCTCACTTTGAAAAGATATCTGATATTTACAACTATTGTACTAGGTAGATCTAAAGATAATCTGTCTACACTAAGGCATAAGTATACAGCCACTCAAAATAGTTTTGAGTACCAAGGTGTTAAAATGTACAATTTCTTGCCTGCATCCATCAAAAACCTGTGTTTCAAAATTTAAACATGTTTTAACACGTTGACTGCTGAAAACAACGTACAGGCGCTCCCCAGTGGCGGGCGAAGCCCCGCCAAGCAAACGAATCAGTGAACGCAATTGGCATTCAAATATTTCAGTCTGACGAATCACAAAAGAGCAGTGATGACTGCTGCGTTACCCCGAGAGTGGATGTAGTTCACTGAAACACCCAAAGGTAGCAGCACTGCACGGATCCGTATCCAGTGTCTTTGTAATGTGGGTTGAAGAGAAAAAATCCCTGAAACCGGGACTAAAGCATTGCCAGACAGGATTTTATGGGAAATTTTAGTACCAACCTACACCAAAGTAAAGCTCGCATTCTAAGCTGGCAGTCTGGCAGTATAACGTCTCCGTCTGAGGCTAAGCTCACACTGACTCAATATATTTCTGTTGGTTTGGTGCCAGCTTTTGTCGGAGCGCGCCACATTGAAGTGCTAGCGACGCCGACTCAGCGTTAGCAGTCAACGTGTTAAAAACTACTCTAACCCAGGCTTGCCTGTATAAACATGAAGAGTACTTTGGTTTAGAGTTTAAGGGCGGGTTTCTGATTCAGGTATTAGCGCTAGTCTTAGACTAAAGCTCATTTTAGTACTGGACTAATTTTAATCCATGACTAGCCTAACTTAGTTCTGGACTTATAAATCCCTGACTCAGAAACCCGCCCTTAGTTTTAGTTATTTTAGTTGCCATCTTGATTGTTTTGTTTTTCTTTTTCTTTTGACGATTGTCATGAACTTTGTCTAGTTGTAACGACAATAAAGCATTTCATTTCATAGTATGAAATCAAAAGGTTATAAATCTACTCTGTTGATATGCAACCTACATTAGTTTACAAAGATAATCAAATGGGGCTGCACTTTACTTGACGTCCTACACTCATTCGAATGAAAATATCGATCAATATATCGATTACTCGGTTGCTTCATTCGATATATCGTTTGGATAGTTAGGTAAGGTTAACCTAACCTAACTAACCAAACGATATATCGAATGAAACAATCGAATCGAAAAAAACAATCGAATGAGTGTAGGACGTTAAGTAAAGTGCAGCCTCAAATGGCTAAACAATTAAACTGTGATCACATACTTATCAAATCATTGTTTAACAATTCTTCTTCGATTTCCTCCTCTGTCAAGATGTCTTGGTTAATTTTGGACATATTTTTGGCAGGGTTATAAATGTCACGCTCTGATGGAAGTACTCAATAAAGTCCTGTAATTAGTTGACCTATTTAGTTGCTACAAGAAATCAAGTCATACAAAGAAAACGACAATTATATTAGCTGTTGAGGAACACTTAAATAAATAGTTAATGTTAATTATTTACAATCAAACATAACCTATTCAAGTACAACCTGCAACTACACCCACTCAACTCACTACAACAACAGTGTCGTAGTCGTATATAGTTTCAGTTTGACTTGACTTTTGGTTTTGACGTTTGACTAGTTTTTGTTAGCTCTCACTCAGTACTAGAGCCGATGGACCCGATCCGTTCCGTAGGTGAAGAGTAGTGGATTGGCATTAAAAGTGAAATGTGGAGTGGACAGTGGACTAGGATTACCACTGAGCTATATAGTTATAATTTTAGCTCGGTGAGGATTGAGGAATACTGTACTGCTAGCCCAATAGTGCTAGCCTAGCCAGACCATTGAGATATGGGTCTGACTTAGGGGAGGTACGAATGAGGCATTTAGTTCAAAATTCCTCCGCGAACAGCGCTGTAATAGAGAGCACTTTGTCAATGAAGGTTTACTATTCGCAAAAATAGTTCTGTTCATAAAATAAAATTATAAATGCCTCAAATTCAATTTTATAATTTTTTTAATTATAAAATTAAACTATCATAACCTAACCGAACTAACCAAACTTGCTGATAATTAAATAATATAAAAAAGATTAGTAATAGAAAAAATAATTATGTTTATTAAATAAAACTAGAAATTGCTCCTTTAAAATTGTATAATGACTTAATAATAAAATTAAACTGTCATAACCGAACCAAACCAACCAAACTTGCTGATAATGAAAAAATCTGAGACAAAAAGTTAATGCAACCAGCGAGATTCGAACCCGGGACCTTTTGCACGCCAGCCCGGCACGCTAACCACTAGACCACCGAAACCGTTGTCCACAAACCGTATTGTTACGGTAATAGCCGTTCCCTCAGCTAATAAGAAGCCCACAGCTGTCATCGTAGCCTCTTCCGTACCTCCCCTGAGTAAATACCTTGAGATATAGCTCAGTGAGCCAGACTAGCAGACGATCTTCTCACCGCAGTATTTCACCTACCTTTTTTTAGAACCTTTGGAACAGTTACACGGAACTGTTTGGGATAATGTTTTTCCTGCATACAAATTTAATTATTATGATATACCTTTTTTGCTCCTCCTCATAATAATAACAAGTCTTTTATAGACATAACCTTTAAGTTAGTTAACTGGTTTCGTTTATTTAATTATTCTATTCTTACATTACATCACGAAAACCGGCTTATTCTTAAAAGATAATGATATAGTAGCATACTAAGGAAAACTATTCAAAGAAATTGCACAGTTATTTTGTTAAATTTGCTAACAATGAGAAGGGTTATAAGGTATAAGGTATTGTTGATAGAACAGGAGTCATAATGAAAAAGCGCAAAATTAAAATCAAAAGTTTTATTATTATATTTATAGTTATAATTATTATTTATTTATTTATTTATTTAGTTATTATTATTTATTTATTTATTAGTTATTTATAGTATTGTGAAGTTCATAATTTTAATAAATTTAACTTACCTTCTTCTGTTTCGAAATTCAGCTCCCCAACTATTATTTCAATGGCATGGGCTTCTTCCAGATGCTGGATCAAGTTTTCAAACCACGAAAATTGATGAGAGCAATCACCCTAAATAAGCCTTTTCGGGTTGTTTGAACAGTCAGATTGTTCACTACAACAACTATCATGCACATTACGTGTATGGCGCGTTAAATTAAATTTACTAGCAAAGTGTTTGTCACAAATTGAACATTCAAACTTTTTTATATTAATATCAGACATACTGATCCCGAACTCTTTAACTTGAAATTACACCATCGATTTAAGAGAAAGTTTCCAATCACTAGACAAAATGGAGGTTGAAGACAGAGATCCACGAAAAACAAAATGAACACCTAAAAAGGAAATGGAATGGAACTCTTTGTTCGTAATGTAACGGTTTCAACAAACCTATTCCAAACAGTTCCGTGTAACTGTTCCAAAAGTTCAAAAAAAAGGAAGGTGAAATACTGCGGTATGAAGGTCGTGACTAGCAGTAGAAGTAGAAGAACGTCAAAGACAAAAGTGTAGAAGAACAAGAGAAGAAGCGTAGAAGACTTCGTCTCTACTCTCTACCTCTACTACTCTACTGCTACTCTAGTTTGAGGTTATAGCCTATTTGATCAAAATTATGATTTCGAACTCAACATTTTCTAGCCTATACTTGACGTGGAAAACTAGCCTAGTTCTTGTATGAAACATCGTGTGTTTAAAACGCACTTACTACACTATAAATAAAATTATCTTTTTCTAGTGTGGTGTTTTTAGACTATGAAGGATTGTAGGCCTATAGGAATTTGCAATGAAGTGAAGACAAATCTTGAAATATTAATCTCTGATAGGCCTATTTTCAATAACGCGTAGAATATTTTGGGTCTATGGATCAAAGTTACGGTGAGTCTGGTTTTATTACATCCGGCTGCACTTTACTACACTCATTCGAATGAAAATATCGATCGATTAATCGATTGCTTCATTCAATATATCGTTTGGTTAGTTAGGTAAGGTTAACCTAACCTAACTAACCAAACGATATATCGAATGAAAATATCGAATCGAAAAAACTATTGAATGAGTGTAGGACGTCAAGTAAAGTGCAGCCTTACATCCGTCTCATAGTAAGATAGCTGTTTGTAGCCTAAGTTATTTGTAAATTTCTAGGCCTGGGCCTATAGCCTATGGCTAATTTAGGTACCTAAGTTTAGGCCTAAGCCAGTCACAGAGTCAGACGCCTATACATCTGAATTAGGCCTAGGCCTAGTTGTCTTAGGCCCTAGGCCCTACTACTAAGATGGGTAATTGTTCCATATAACTTATCTACAATGAGGAAAATGTAATTTTTATACCTAGCCTATGTCTAGCCTACTTAAAGTTTTTTTCACTCTGAATCCAAAAATTCTCTCAGTTTTTGTCGGAGAGATCCCTAAGTGGCCGTAGCATTAACTTAGCCTACCGTAAATAATTAATATCAAGCTTCAGGATTGCAATACTGTAGTATAAAACCTTTTTATGGTAAAAAATGGTAGAAATGAGTTAGAAAGCAGTTTTAAGTTATAATTAAGATTCACTTTTCGACACTGTTCAATGTGCTAGCCTATATATGTACTAAAATAATAAAGATTGTTTGAAATTAAATGAAAGCCTAAGTTATCTATGGTTTGGGCGAGTCCAAGTTCTAGCGGTGACTAACACTTATAAAGGAGAGGAAGGTTTCTGGAGTGGAAACAGCTGTTAGTTGTTTACATTCGATGCTAAAGAATCAAAACAACACCCGACGACGTGCAAGCATTTTTGATATTGTTATTTTATTGTGTTTCACCCACTAACTTAGCCTACATTAACTTATTTCACTTGTGAAAAATATCATAAATCATAAATAAATCTTACTTAATTGGTCATTAAATAACAGATGTTACAATAGACCTCGTTAAAAAAAAGGTGCCAAAAAGGGCCATAGATTCCAGTATATTCTAGATAGGTAGTATAACATGGAATCTTCCCTAAATATAACAAAGACAACAAGAAAATAAATAGTTAAAAATCATTTGAACAGAACTATATATAGGCCTACAGAAACAAAAAGTGAGGTAGGCCTACTTAAACAAAGTGTTTGAAAGACTAGGTAACAGTTGACTAGGGACTAAGTAAGAACTAGATAACAATTTTACCATAACAATTATGTTCTGCAAAATATTCATCCAAACTGTAAAAAGGGTGGTCAGCAAGCCAAACCATCAACTTTTGTTTTAGCCGAGTACAAGGAATGTCAAGTATTTCACTTGCACAAAACAATTTACTATTTTTACTGATACTAGCAAAACTTTGCTGTACTGTTGTTAGTCTGGTGTAGGGCCTATCCAAAGCAGATATTCCCCTTGTGCAATATGAGTGAAAATTATTTCTAGAGCTAGAAAAATGAGGATTTTGTTTAACAAAAATAACACACTCTAATATATACAAATTTACAGTTGTTAGGACACCTGTTGCTTTAAAATGAGGTTTACAATGGTCCCTTAACCCTGAATTGGTCTTACAGCCTTTTGTTGAAGCTTTAAAATTATTAGAATGTGGGTGGAGTTACCCCACATTAACAGACCATACTTTAACAGACTTTGAAAAAAAGCAAAATATGCAGATCTAACATACAAAGGAGGAACAAAATCTCTTAGACGTCTAACTATTTAAAAATAAAACTCTTGACAATTTCTTACTTAAGTTATATAAATGGGTTGACCAGCTTAAGTCACTATCCAAATCTATGCCTAAAAAATTAACACTTGACGAAAAATTCTTTTCTTCCTCAGGTGTGCGACCTAACCTAAAAACAATAGTTTGAGTCTTTTCAGGATTCATAAAAAACCCATTGACACTGAACCAGTTCCTAGCTTCATTGAGGGAAAGTTTGGACAGCACCATGAGTTCACTAAACCTACCTTGACTATTTAAGAAAGTGGAGTCATCCGCATAAATCACAGAGGTACAGGACATACATTTATCCAAATCATTAATCATTATAAGGAAAAGAACAGGGCCTAACACCGAGCCCTGGGGCACTCTGCAAAAAACCTCACTCTCATTTGACAATATACCCGTAACATCAACCTGCTGCCTGCGGTCTGATAAGTAAGACTTAAAAAGATTGAGTTCTATGCCACGGATACCGTAGTACTCAAGTTTATTCAAAAGCAAACCATGGGGAACACAATCAAACGCTTTACTCAGGTCAACTAGAGTTGCCTGAGTAAGAGAGGCGTTTTCATAAGAATTTAGCACATGCTGCACCAAGTGCCTGACCGCATCCGGGGCACATCTTGTTCGAAACCCAAATTGCCAATCAGATATTAGGCCATGGTATTCAAAAAACTTCATTAATTGTGATTTTATTATGGTTTCAAACACTTTGCCAATCACAGGAACAAAATGGGCCGGTAAGTACTAGGATTCTCCCTCGGACCCTTTTTATAAATTGGAACAACTTTTGAAAACTTCAGTTTTTTGGTGAAAAAGCCAGAGAGCAAGCAGCAGTTAAATACTTGCAGTGAGTGGCAACAAGATATACACTATTATAAGCTTTAGAAGGTTAGAGGACATACCATATGCATCTGTGCTGGAAGAGGATTTCATATTATGCACAACACTATATACTTCCTCACAAGACACTGCACTGAACTTGAAGGATGATGGAGAAGCTGGTGTATTCTCAAGTAGTGTAGTGGAAGCAGCAATCGAAGGTGTCACCAGTGCCGCTGTCTGCTCCACAGATGACACGAAGAAATCACTGAAGTCTTGTGGAGATATGTATCGTAAAACTTAGGGGGTTGGTGTTTGGCTTCTCCATATTACCACGGATGATGGACCAGGCAGCTTTGCATTTGTTGGTTGCAGATTCGATTTCTATTACATTGGCGTTGAGCTTGGCTGTTGCAAGAGATTTTGTTTCAAATAGTCTTCCCTATCAATCTGTGAGTTAGATATTTTATAGGCATCAAAAGCTGTTAGGACTAAGTCACGCTGGACTTGAAGCTCTGCTGTAAACCAACGATTTTTTCGTCTAGGTTTTTTACTCTGATAATTTCATTAGATTTTCTTGAGAGGGAAACAATCATTGATAGTTGTTTGGAGCTGATCAAACAGGATGGTGAAAAGATTGTTGCTGATATGCCTGCCATCTGATACCAGACCCGGCCAGTCAATATTACCGACAGTAGAGATAAATGAGAACTAATGAGAACTAAATGAGAACTATTAGTTTATGACTGGACTAATAGTCTGTAGGTAACATGAATTTTAGAACCTAAACTTTACCTTTCTAATCTTAACCTACCTAACTTCAAAACAATCACAGGTAATACAGTCACAAATCTGCATAAAACCTGACCTACCTTCCCTACATGCCTAAATAAGAGCTGATTAAGTAATTTAGTTTCAAATTAAATTACCTAAATTCATTTGAACAGCTGTTTGCTCTCCTCACTCAGTAATCAGCCCACATACAGACCTGTCCAAACCACGTCATATTACCATCAGTACCGCTCAATGAACCTTAGATTCGTAATTTTAACCTTCGTTTTACAGCCACTTAGGAATCTCTCCAACCAAAACTGATTGCATTTTAGGATTTAGAATTTAAAAAATTTAACTGTAAGTACACGGTACCTACTTAGACTATGTATACAAATGACATTTTTTTCCCCAGTGTTGACGACATAGGCCTACAGAATAATTGCACTAGAAGGTGAGTTGTACTTTTTTTGTGACTGGGCTAATGCAATTATTTTGTTAATCTTTTAGCTGAATAAACAAAATTGAATTTGAATATACCCCTAGCCTAAGTTACTTTTTATTTTTAGTTAAATTAAGTTACTGTAGGTATAGCATTTGTTATAGGCCAAGACTACTGTTCTACGTAATATTTTAATTTGCTTTTACTTGGATATACAAATATTTAAGTACCGTAGGCCTACCCACTGAAATCAAAGTTTGGGTTAGGCTTATTCATCTTTTGTTTTCCTACTTTGTATGGGTTTTTTTCATCAGGATATGCATACTATGCTATCTGTATTCTCCCTGGTAGACAGTAATGTAACTTAGGTTATCAACCTCTTACAGTCAAAATCAATAAGCTAGGCTAGATAGGATTTCCATTTTTTCAATAGCCGAAGCTTGGCATGAATCAAGAATTTTTATTTCCACAAAATACAAGGGTTTCATGACTGGAAAACGTCAGTACAACTACAAATAAAATATGAGAAAGTACAAGGTTTCTTACCGATATAGTACCAGTATTGATATCAGTATATTTTGTTTTTGTACACTGCCATATGTTGTATGGTATTTTTGTTTGGGGAACTGATACTAACGTAAAAAAATGTTAAAACTACAAAAAAGAGCAATGAGAGTTATGGCAGGAGCACATCCCCGTGAACATTGCAAACTTCTGTTTAAAAAATTTAAAGTTCTTACCGTCACTTCAATGCTTGTTTTTGAAAGTATTATGTATGTTAAGTTAAACTCAAACGTTATTCCTACCGTACAAACAAAATTGCTCATAGTCATCGTCATCACACAAGAAATAATAATAATTTTAGGATAAACCAATGTAATTATCAAAGTACCATTGTTAGTTCTTTTGAGTTAGGAATAAGACTGTTCAATATGTTACCATCTCGCCTTAAAAGTTTAGAACCTGTATGTCTTCAGAAACAGTTGAAATGTATTTTGTTGCAGCTTAGTGTATATTCTTTGAATGAATTCATTGATAATTGTAAATCAATGGACTGATGCATTTGATTTGTAAATAATTTGTAGTACAGTACCTATTTTTGACGTCATACATTGTAAATGTGTTGCGGCAATAAATGATTTGACTTTGACTTTGACATAAACATTCTTCAATCCATTTGGAAGCTTCTGGTAGCCAATATATATTTGCCATAGGCCTAAGTCTAGTTAAAATTGATGAGTAACTTAACTTGGACCTAGCTTTGTGTTGTTTTCCCTCCATTTTTGTTAGAGTGCTTACTTAATGGCATCTAACCTTAATAACCTGATAGAAGGCTCAAAAAAGTAGTTATACATCTCAAATGGTTTCGGATACGTAGATGGAAGATGGAACACATTACAGTTGCAGTGTCAGAAGCACTAACCACTTAGTTGTTTTACAGGCCTACTAACTTTCAGTAGACTAATCTAAATTTTTGTGTGATCAAATTCAGGTCATTCAGGCTGATAGTAGACTAGCATTTATTTTTATAATTCATTTTCCCCAAGGATTCATTCAGCCCTAGGATTGTGTTTTTATGACAAAGGCTAAAAGTGTAGGTACCTAGTTAAACAATCCTTGACACGAACGAAGTATCACTAACTTACTTGCTACATGTTTTGGCGGTTATTTTTCTAACTCCACCACCCAAGAACCAAAAGAAGGCCATAAGGACAATCTTTCAACTACAGCCCCTAGACCATTGCAAGCCGATTTTAAAGGACCACAATATCCTTACAGTCATTTCCTTACACCTGTTGGAATCCATGACACTTGCAAAAAAATCAACACCTACCCTAAGATCAGAACATCATCCATACACCTCCGTACCCTAACACGCATAACAAAGACTTGCCACAACATCGATTGCAGAAATTAAACAACAGTCCCCACTATTCTGGCTCTTCTTCAATTTATTACCAACATCTCAAAACCATTGAAAAACCTGACACCTTCAATGGCAAACTGAAGCGGTACTTAACATTTAGAATATTTTTTTCTGAGTAGATACACCATTTTGTTTTGTCTTGAAAAATATTAGGTTCTTTTCTGTTTATTCACTACAGTACCACTATACTTTTTTTATTTCAATTCGGGGTTTTATGGGGTAAAATTAGGTTTTTCCCATTTTTGACCCTAAAACACAAAATTTCACAATTTCTTTCCAAACCATTTTGTAGAGCTTAAAAAAACAAATAATTTAGTATATTGAAACGTTATTATTTGCCTAATAGTTGCGGAGAAAATTCCAAAAAATTGTAAATTTAAAATTCCCATGTTATTCTTATGGAGAATAAGTCAACTGTTGTAGTTTGCTTGTTTGTGAACAAATTTTGTCCGAATTTGTAAAATATATTCATTTCTTACTAAACTATTAAGATTTTACAACAAAAAACACTTTTTTACCTCCCCCCCCCCTGTTGCAGCAAACCTAAGTATAATTGTTATTTTTTTATTTATAATCGTTATTATGGACAACCTAATGAGGCTATTTGTAGAAAACATTAAAACACGAGATCAGCTTTTGAAAAATGATAAGATATTTACAAGAAGTGTTGATTATATCGATCTGTTATGTATACATCTAGAGTATTTCCATAATCTTTGAGTCGAATCTTTTAAAGCCATCAGAAATTATAACTGTTATTCGATTTAAAATAACGCCTGTAATACTTAGCAAACAGGGACACTAGTACTTATTTAATACGCAAGCAGGTTTTTTGTGACAATTAGGCCCGGTTTCCCCAACTCACTGAAACTTAGTTTTAAGTTAAACGGCGATTTAAACTTAGGTTAACTTTGATTTGTGTTTCCCCAAATTTAAACTAGGTATTAATCCAAGTTCAAACTAAACCACCTCTCGACTAGGTTTAACTACTGGGAATAAAATAAACTGAGTTCAGTAACATAACCTCAAATCAAAACAAAAAGTAGGTGTTAAAACAATAATAATTGAAGCAACTACAAATTCATTTGGACGAAAATAGGCTTGGTTTAGGGCTAACTTATAATTTAAGTTTTATTTACATTTATTATGGAGTTTATTATTTCTTTTTCTGTACATTTGATTTTTTTCAAATTAGGCTACTATTGCAGTATTTGCCCCTTAACTCAAATGGAAGAGTTAAGACATTTTCGAAGAAGTAGAAGATGGAAGATTATGACACTTTAGTACCTAGAACCAACTAGAACAAGAGGGCCTACTAAAATAAGGGACAGAATTGAGTGAATTGACCATTTTAATAAATGGAATGAATCTGAATTTGATAACAACTTATAATAACTTGTCAACATAACCTTAAACAGTGATGTTATTCTAGCTGCGTTCGCACTTTGCTGTCTGCTCTACTGAGTTGTAGCGCAGCGTTGTGGTGGTTGTAGGAAACACTAGCCCAAAGCCCACCGAAGATTCCTTCAGCATTGTACGTGTTATTAAATTTACGAAAAGTAAATAAGAGAAACGTCTTATAACACTTAAAAGATATATTTATGCTTATACTGTTACTCACAAGACGGTAAATATACAAAAAAGATGGTAAGTGGTGATCGATTTCGATTGGAATCGAAATCCGATCGAAATCGATCACCACTTACCATCTTTTTTGTATATTTACCGTCTTGTGAGTAACAGTTTAAGCGTAAATATATCTTTTAAATGTTATAAGACGTTTCTCTTATTTATAAACGATATATCAATAGGTAGGGGAGGAAAAGGGGGGAAGGTATTGGGGGAATGGAATCTACCAAGTAAACAGTGTTGCCAACATGCGTTTTTGAAAATTCCCGTGGGCCTGTCAGACCGGGGTATCGGTATTAGTGTTAATTAATCTAACCAACCAATCTTGCTGATTATGAAAAAATTCTGGTTGTGAATAAACGGAATTGTAATAAAAAAAAGTAGGGTACCTAGTGAATCAACAGAGAAGAACCAAATATTATGTTTGAAGTGTTATAGCCATTGATAAATGTCCTGTCATTTTATTATGTACCGGCAATGACATTCTGCGTATAAATAAACATGTAAAACTGTTTTCCAGGTTTTTAGACTGTAACAAAATCAGCCTATTGATGAGGATGAACTCCGTGGGAGGTACGTTGGATTCAATCCATATCAAGGACATCCGTCCGGGATTGAAGAACTTTTCCGTCACGTTTATCGTTCTGGATGTGGGTCAGCCTGTGCTACTGAAGGAGAACAGAGAAGTAAGGACTTTGAAAGTTGCAGATGCCACGGCTTGTATTAATCTGTCCCTGTGGGACGAACCAGGAGCCGTTATTGCACCCGGGGACATCATTAGACTGAGCAAAGCCTACGCAGGAGTGTGGCGTAACGCACTTACCTTATACTCGGGCAAAAACGGTGATATTGATAAAATAGGGGAGTTCTGTTTAGTTTTCAACGAACAGCTTAACATGAGTGAACCTAATTTGAACTTATCAAACCCAATTGGAAACCAACCCGGAGGTGGTGTGCCGAATTTGAACAGTAATATAAATAACGGTAGTGCTAATAGTATAGGTACACTCCAGAACAGACCCGCTCCTCTGCTACCTGCTGCAAGTGATCGGAAAAACGCCCCTCGATACTCGGGAGAGAGAACCAGAGAGACCTCCATTCCTGCGGGGAAACACTCGGGGAAAAGTGGACCTAAGAGTGGGGGCAGAGGGGGTCAACGGAATGTGATTCGGAATGATAAAAGATAATTTAATAATGCATGCGTTAATAGTGAAGTACAGTAATGAGTTTTAACAAATTTTATTCATATAGGCTTACGCCTACATACTTTTTTAAACTCAAACATTTTAATTTTTTAATATTTTATCAAAAATTTGATTAAATATATATTTATTTAAAATAGGTAAAATATTAACATGCAGATGGATATTTTGTTAAATGGTAAATTTTTCTGTTGATTTTAGTAAAGTAATAAGGTTTAAAAGATTTTGTTCAAAGTAAAAATGAAAATATCTTGTATAACTTCTAAAACCTGAAGTCATTATCATAGACTAACTAACAGAAAATAGGCCTAGTCTTCTCATCCCATTGTATAACCTGTAGCTTGTTTTTTAAGTGCGGTTCACGTTGGTGGTGTTAAACGCTAATTTCAACAACATTTTTTTCTCTCTTTTTTTTTTGGAGTAAATTTTATGATTAGTGCTCTACTGTTGTTTGGTGTTAAAACCCTGGACAAGCTATTGTTCATAATTACACCAATTTTATTTTGGTTTTAAACTAGTTTTAATAGCCTACCCCCGCCGCAACAAGCCTGCAGACTAAGCGAATTTCAACTTCTCTGATTAGGCCTACATTTTTACTAAAATATTTCTATAAATAAGACATATTTATTCCCAATTTAAATAACATTAGATTTAACAAGTGCTTAGGTTTGCTGCTACGGGGAAGATAAAAAGTGTTTTTTGACCATACGTCAATAGCATAGGATGAAATAAATAAATTTGTTGAATTTTATCAACATTATATCCATAAACAAGTAAACTACAACCATTTTCATTTTCTCCATAAGAATAACATAGAAAATTTTAATTAGAATTTTTTTCCCCCGTAACCGTAACTTTTTCTACTAAAATACTCAGGACTCTAGGACCTATAAAATGAGGTGTAATATGACGGGACCCCTTTACATTGGAAAATTTCCCAAAAACCACCCCCACCCCCCAAAATCTGCTCTTTGGGGTGCTTTTTTGGGTTTGAAAATTATTAAGCTGAATTACTTGGGGTTTCAAAATAGGGGGTTCCAGTTGCAATTAGGTTTCTATTTGCTTTCATATTGGAGCTATAGAAGCCGGTCAGGTGGTCTGGGACCGGGTCCAGGTCTGACCATGAGACCTATGGTATTAGCTTATTCCCTATATGGGAAATTTGCTGAAAACGCCAAAATAACAAGAAACAAATCCGAAACAAAAACATTCCCCCTCATGTTTTGGGCTTAACCAACATTAAAACTGTCCTTAGCGATGAGAAACCTAAGTATGTTTAATCCATGGTACCGGTATGTTTGTGCAGCTTGATTCTTTGTATGTATTCTATTTAGCGAAAGTGTTAATTTTAGCGAAGTAATATGTTTTAAGGAGTTTTATTCAAAGAACGTAGGTACTGTTTTATAACTTCAAAAAAGTAATTTTTTAATACCTTAAAGTATAAAAATACATGAAATAACACCTGTAATAAATATATTTACACTCATACTGTTTACTTACTAGACAGTAATACATAAAATATGGGAAGTGGTGATCGATTTCGATTGGAGTGTCCACTTACCATCTTTCATATGTATTTACCGTCTTGTAAGTAAACAGTATAAGTGTACATATATTTAAAACAAACGTTATTTGACGTATTTTTGTACTTTCAGGTAATTTAATTACACGTACAATGCTTATCAAGAAGTTATTTGCCTTTTAATATAACCATTTTAAATGAAAATATATTTTTAAATTGATGTGATAAACATTTGTGTAGATGGAATCTTATGTTATTTTTAGTGGGGTAATATGTTTTAATGGATAAAAAAAATACCTACAATTTTATAACACTAAAAGAGTCGTTTTAACTTTTTAATATATACAATTTTAAAGACAAAATATTTATTTAATAAACATGAAGTGATTTAATTGTGCAGATAGATTCTCTGATGAATGGTAAATTATTGTTTTAAATTTAAGTTATTGTCAATGATTTATGAGACTTTTCACAATGAAGTAAATTGTGTACAAATAAATCGACATTCCGATGTATTCAGTGTTTGAATCCTAGCCTTCAAAACCAATAATTTAAATCCACCATTTGGTGATTCCTTGATCTGAGAAGCTAAAAAACAGTCTGTTGATATGACAACCATCGATGTATAATAACTCCCTGGATTGTGCGCTGAGGTTGAAGTAGGGCTGCGGTCTGCTGCTGCCTCGCTCTGTCCGCGAGGAGTGGGGATAAAGGCATGAGTCACCCTAGTGGCGAGTGTCACGCCCGCTCTAGCCGCATATTGCTGTGTTAGTTTTGTGGAAATATTACGAGTAAAATTTATTATAACGAACTTAAGGAGGTTTGTAAACAGATATAATTAATCTAATTACTTGCTCACACTTTACAGACTATGCATCACAAGTAAATCTCAGAAGAAATTTAGTGATGTTATGAAAGAGTTAGATTTATTTATAACCTATTTGAACATTGGTCAGAACAAAATATTACAATAATTATTTTATCACAGAAGCATGTCATCATTTGCTACTGTGAGCCCCAATTATTATTGAGAGACTTAGCAACATGTAACGCCTCTTTCACACGATGCGGTGCCTGTGGCGCGGCGTTGCGCCGGTGCATCTTGGCGCCGGACAAGCGTGTGTCTTCACACTAGTACGGTTTTGTCCGGCGCAAGCCGTACGGCACTCCTGAATATTTATTATTTTCTGTTCAGTTGTGGCACTACCAATAATAAAACCGAGTTACACAGTTTCGATGTTAACACCACGGCAAAAGAAGGTTTTAGCCATGTACCTAGTATGGAGGCGAAGAAAAAGAAGAAGAAATAATAGCCATTTTGGGTTCACCCAATACTTAATAATCGGCACGAGTTTGGGGCATTCAGGGTGTTATTTAACAGGGGTTTATTTATTCCTTACGCAACGATGAAGAAAGATTCTTTTCTTATTTTCGTATGTCTATTACGACATACGAACCCAACTTACCAACCCTCCGAGTAAATCTCATTAACCACGCCTCAGTGAATACTCTACTTAAAAGTTCAAATAAAATGAATAGGCTAATTTAAAATATAATTAATTCATCATATCTAAAAATATTGTATTCTAGAAGTAAAAAATATGTTTCATTACGTATAAATTAGTAATATAATATTCTCCTCTAGTTATTAAAGGAAAAAGTTTGTTATTAATACTTTAAGTTGGCCGATTTTCATGGGATGACATAAAAATATATGTTTTGTGATCACTTTGAATATATATTATTTTCTGATACAACGATATATAATTTCTTAATAACTGTTGCACCTTCTTGGTCAGGTAGTTTGCCTAAATTGAGACAGCGTAGGGGTTGGGCCGTGCGGCGTGCCCCGCACCGTGTGAAAGCTCCCATAAGAACCAATAGCCCTTCACCGAGTTGTCCGGCGTGGACGCCGCGCGGCGCTGTTGTCCGGCTGAAGGTGCATACGGCGGTAACTCGCGCGCGCTCCGGACATAGTGTGAAAGGACGCATATACTCCCATAGCCCTACGCCGGATCCGGCAGGCGCCGCACGGCGCACACCGCATTGTGTGAAAGAGGCGGAAGAATATACATTTTGGTTATATTACAGTATGTTTCTTTGTCATACGTGTTTGTAAAATATATTATATGTTGTTAAATAAAAGGAGTGTATAATATTTTACGCCAATATCTCCAATTCATTGATTATACTCACTAAAGTAAATAGTTACAAAATATTTTCTCAGATTAATATTAAATACTACTGTGAATCCAAAATGTATTCTTTCATTCAACGATTTTTTTTTACTATAGACTACGGTAAGCAATAAAATTCAGAAACGTACGCTTGTAAATTTAGTTACCCATCCTTCGTAATGTAATGACATATTTATTGTGTATAATGATAATTAAATGCCAGAAACTCAGTATCTAAATCCCGTAAACTGATGCCAAGCCAGCCAAACTCCTAGCACCAACGTCGCGCCAAGCGATTTTATGCCTGTTTTTAATTGCTTAAAAATGATACAAGCAAACTCCGTATAAAAAAAAGCTTCAAATAAAAAATAAAATTCATACTTTTATCTAAAACTTTGCCGCAGGAATTCTTTTCCTGACCAAAAAATTAAGTTCCTCGCTTACTACCTTTTTCATGTTTTTAGTTGTGTTAAAAAACAATCATCAGTTTTTATTTGCCTAAATAAATTATAAAAAATATGTTTAGGTTGAAACAAACTATTCTGTAAGAAGCACTGTCGTTTCCAGAAATTAAAAATAAAAATTTGAAATGTTTACGTTGGAAAATAAGTGAAGCAGGGCAGGTTGAGTGAAAGTATGTTTGTGTAAATGACGGAGGTTCATACAGCCCATCCACCTCGGTATCCCACTAATTCGATTGGTGGGCACGGACCGTTTTTCCACCACACAGCGCTCTATCCAGTAGAGTATTATACATCGATGATGACAACTTGTCATGTAGTGTGCCACTTGCTGTGCCAGAATGGAGCCAACTCATTGATTTGAAATGATGATGTTGTGTTGGTTACAAATAAGGATATTCCCTGAATTCTCAATCAATTGATCAGTTGACAAGACTGAATCTTTTATGTAGAATGAGCCTTTGATGGAAGAAAATCACACTAAGACATAGGCTACGTCACTTGAGTAAATGTCCCCTCATAATTTTGATGATTTGTTCAAAATGACTCAAGGTAGGCAATAAATGGTATCTGTCATAAAAATTTGCTCATGTGCAACGTTTAAGAATACTTAAAATGACCACAACCAAAGAATAAGCTGTGCAGCACTCTTCCGATCTAAAATCAACAAATTGTCACTTTTATAGTGATTTTAAACCATTCGTCAGTAGATGTGCTTATCTGTTAGTTTAATATTACTGTTGAGGTTAGAACCATTATGTGCAGGGTCTCATTAGTTAATCCACAGAGAAGTAAGATACAGAGGATTACATTCACTGGTACACTTAAGTCGTGTCTAGCTGGTGTC